AGGGGAAGGGAGGGGGAGGGGGGAGGGGAGGGGAGAGGGGAAGGGGAAGGGGAGAGGGGAAGGGGGGGGAGGGGCATGGAATAATGAATGAAAGGGGGGGGAGAGGAGAGGAGATAGGAGGGAGAGGAGAGAGATAGGAGAGGAGAGGAGATGAGAGGAGAGAGAGGAGATAATAGTGAAGAGAGAGAAGAGAAAAAAAGAGAAATAGTACGACAGAACGAATGACAGGCAGGCCAGTACACAAAAGGAAAAATGATTACCCAGAGGCAATCGGCCACAGGGACACAGTACATCTGATAACTCCGCGCAAGACATCCGCTGACGAAACTCCCACCACTTGCCTTCCTCCCCCGCCCCCCCCCAATCCCCAACTTCCTCCCATCACTTGCCTTCTTCCCCCCCCCCCAACCCCACTTCCTCCACCATCCTACCACCCACTCCCACATCTCCCTCCTCACCCACAAGCCTTCCACCACCTCTCACCACCCCTTCCTCCCCCTCTTTCCCCAAACCTCACCCACTAACTCCTTACCACTCCTCATCCTCACTCCCCCCCCCCACCCCCATCACCCTATCCTATCCTATCCTACAATTCCCTCTCCTCTCCTCTCCTTCCCTCTCCCACTCCAACCATCACCCCCTCCCCCCTTCCCCCTCCAAGTCAACAGCTGACCTCACCGACCTTTCTCCATAGACCCCCTACTCGACCAGGACCTCGGATTCCAGATAAATTCTCGTAGACATCTCAATTCCTCTAAGACAAGATTCCCAGACCTCCGGAAGAATTCTCAGATACATCTCAAATTCTCAAAAAAACTAATAAATTCTCAAGACACCTCTAGACCCTCTAATACCGCGGATATAATAATAATAATAATAATAATAATAATAATAATAATAATAATAATAATAATAATAATAATAATAAAAATAATAATAATAATAATAATAATAACAATAACAATAACAATAACAATAACAATAACAATAACAATAACAATAACAATAACAATAACAATAATAATAATGATAATAATAATAAATTTCTCAAGCCAGCCAAAGTTCTCAGAAAAAAAATCAAATTCACAAGACCATACAAAATAAATATCTCATTCATAGCAACACTTCTTCAACTGCCCGAGACAAGCCCTCCACACTTCCGGCTCTCTCGATTCAGGTTAGAGAGAAAGCGATGTTTTTTTTTTCTCTCTCTCTCTCTCCTCCACTCGCAACTTGTGCTAGGTCAACCTGAGTCAGATGAATGACCGACAGACTGCGCTGGAGAGACCGGAGTCATGCTACTTTTACGGGAATATAAAAAAAAAAACATTTTTTCTTCTAATGAATACCGGAATAAGCAAGTCATTTACAAGTAATTTACATCATCATAATTGTCATATATTTTCTTCTCGAGAGCAAACGCCGATATAAATAAATCATTCACAGGACCCATACAATTTATTTTTCTCATTAACATAATCAATAATAATAATTAAACCATAATTAATAAATCGCCTAAATGACGGGTTCTGCAACTTGCTTTCCAAATTAGTTCATTGACTTGCACATTTCTACCTCTTCAAATTTACCGCTATTTGGCCATTACATGCTGAACAAAACATTCCCAGATAGACAAACAAGGGTAAATATTCGCTCCAATCACCTACTATAGGAGTTTCATATCCCCCCCCCCCGCGGAGAAACTTCCTCCCCCCGCTCCCCCCCAAAGAAAAAATAAATAAATAAAATAAAATGTCAGCGTGTATGCTAGCTAGAGTGCGCGCGTGCGTGCGTGCGTGCGTCGTGCCCGGGCTGCCACAAGTCCTCCGAGCCGAGTGTCCGGTCGCCGTTGACAAGCCCGATTCATCAAAGCCACCTCGAAGTAAGTGACCCACCACTTAAGCAGGTCGGGTCCCGGCCACACCCACGATCCCACTGTGCAAGATGTGCAAATGCGAAAAACCGGTGAGAGAGAGAGAGAGAGAGAGAGAGAGAGAGAGAGAGAGAGAGAGAGAGAGAGAGAGAGAGAGAGAGAGAGAGAAGAGAGAGAGAGAAGAGAGAACATAGAGAGAGAAAGAGACATAGAGAGAGAGAAAGAGAGAGAGAGAGAGAGAGAGAGAGAAAGAGACATAGAGAGAGAGAAAAAGACATAGAGAGAGAGAAAGAGACATAGAGAGAGAGAAAGAGAGAGAGAGAGAGGAGAGAGAGAAGAGAACACACACACACAGACATAGAGAGAGAGAGACACACAGAGAGAAGAGAGAGAGAGACATAGAGATAGAGAGAGAGAGGCGGGAGAAAGGGAGAGATGGAGGGGAGAAGGGGAAAGGGGGGCAGATGGAAATGGAGAGGGGAGGGAGGGAAGAGAGGAGAGGGGGAGGGAGGAGGAGGGAGGGAGGGAGGGGGAGAGGAAGGGAGAGAGGGAGGGAGGGAGGGAGGGAGGGAGGGGGGAGGGAGGGAGAGAGAGGAGAGAGAGAGAGAGAGAGAGAGAGAGAGAGAGAGAGAGAGAGAGAGAGAGAGAGAGAGAGAGAGAGAGAGAGAGAGAGAGAGAGAGAGAGAGAGAGATCCGCTATATTGCGAGATAATGACTTCACTTAAGACGCACACTTAGAATCGATGAGGTACACGTCACAGCACATAGCGTCTCCTCTCTCGTTTGTCATATTACTCATTCGCCCCGTATCACTGTTGCCATTCACTCTCGTTTGACTCTTCTCACTCATTTCCTCTCCTCTTCCTCATTTATCCCACTCTCTCTCTCTCTCTCTCTCTCTCTCTCTCTCTCTCTCTCTCTCTCTCTCTCTCTCTCTCTCTCTCTCTCTCTCTCTCTCTCTCTCTCTCTCTCTCTCTCAATTATCCATTATCTTCCTCATTTTGTCTCCAGTTCTTCATTCTCCCTCTCCTTTTCTTCCTTTCCTTCTATTTTTTGACATCTTTTTCCCCTTCCCTCCCTCCCTCCCCTCTTCCCTCTCTCTATCCCTAGGTCGCTTTCCATCAACGTATCAGCTTCCTTGCCTTTTTCCTCCTGCCTTCCTATCTTCCTTCCTTCCTCCTTCGCTATCTCCCTTCCTTCCTGATTCCCTGCCTCCCTTCTCCCGGACCTACGACCTCCCTGTCTACCCGCCCTAAAATTTCTCCCCGCCTCCCTTCGTTTTCTCCTTCTTCCTTTTCCCCCCTCCTCTATACTCCTTCCCTCCGTGTCTCCCTCCCCTCCCCTTCCACTATACCCCTCCCTCTCTCTCTTCATCCCTCCCATTCTTCTCCCTCCATTACACTCCTCCCCCTACCACCTACCCTCCCTCCCTCCCTCCCTCCCTACACCTACCCTCCCTCCCTCCCTTCCCCCTTCCCTCCCTCCCTCCCTCCCTACCACCTACCTCCCTCCCTCCCTCCCTCCCTACCCTCCCTCCCTCACCTCCCCCTACCCCCTACCCTCCCTCCCTCCCTCCCTCCCTCCCTCCTCCCCTACCCTCCCCCTCCCTCCCTCCCTACCACCTACCTCCCTCCTCCCCCTCCCTCCCTCCCTCCCTACACCTACCCTCCCTCCCTCCCTCCCCTCCCCTACCACCCTACCCTCCCTCCCCCCTCCTACCACCTACCCTCCCTTCCCTCCCTCCCTCCCTACCACCTACCCTCCCTCCCTCCCTCCCTCCTCCTACCACCTCACCCTCCCTCCCTCCCTCCCTCCCCTCCTCCTCACTCACCTCTCCCTCCCTCCCTCCCTACCTACCTACCCTACCCTCCCTCCCTCCTCCCTCCCTACCCCTACCCTCCCTGCCTCCCTCACCTGCCCACCACCCCACCCACCTTCCCTCCCTCCCTAACCGTTCGACAAAGAAGCGCCAAAATACACAAACTGGAACTTATGACGTCACCTTTTCTTGCAACCACAGGCCACCACCCGGAAATACCAGGGGTCGAATGGGAGTGGAGCCGAAGGGGAGGAGTGGATGGCAACGGATAATAAGGGGGTAGAAGAGAGGAGGAGTAGGAGGAGGAATAATAAGGAGGAGGAGGAGGAGGAATAATAAAAAGGAGAGGTAGGGGGAGGAGGAGGGGAGGAAGTAAGGAGGGAGGAGGAGAAAAAGGAAAGACTAGACAAAAAAGGTAAGAAAAAGAAGGAAAGAAAAAGAGAAGAAGGGAAAGAAAAAAAAAAGAAGAAGGAGAAAGGAGGAGGTGAGGAGGTGAGAAGAGGAAATGGGGAGGTGTATCGGGCAACTAAGGTTCTACAGCTTTGGTTCTCAGGGTTCCTTTTATACCATCGTAATTGGAGTCTCAGGAGTGGGCCGTTCATTCGGTCTTGGCTCTCGTTTACAAGGAGGGGAGGCCGTGAAGGGGAGGGAGGGCGTGAAGGGGAGGGAGGGGCGCGGAAGGGGAAGGGAAGGAGGTTGGTGATGGGGAGGGTAGGGCGTGAGGGAGGTCAGAAGGGGGAAGGGAGGGTAGATGGTTCAGAAGGGTCCAGAAGGTGGAGGGAGTGATCTGAAGAGAGGGTCAAGAGGGGGAGGTGAGAAGGGGGGAAGGAAGAGGGGGGAGGGGGGCGGGGCGTGATCGGAAGGTGAGGAGGGAGAAGGGGGAGGGGGAGGGCGTGATCGAAGGGAAGGTGAGAGGGGGAGGAGGCAAGAAGGAAGGAAGGGGGGAAAGGGGAAGGAGGATGAGGGAATAAAAGGGAGGGGAGGGGGGAAGGGAGGAGAAGGGCAAGGGAGGGGAAGGGGAAGGGAGGGGAGGGAGGGAGGGAAGGAAAGAAGCGGGGAGGGGAGGGAAAGGAGGAAGGAGGAAGGGTGGGAAAGGAAAGGGGGGAGGGGGGGCAAAGAGGAAGGGAGGAGGAGGGGAGGAGGTAGGGAGGAAAGGAAGGAAAGGAGGAGGATAGGGGAGGAGGAGGTGGCCCACGCAGGGGTGAATGGAATGAAATACAAATACAAAACACACACACACACACACACAAAAAAAAAAAAAAAATCTGAAACGACAACCAACACGCCCCGCCTTCCCCCGACACCCACCTTGCAACATGGACCTGTAGGCGCAGTCTGTGATGGCGAAGACGTGGGGGGGCATCTCGTGGCGCTTCTTGCCCTTGTACATCTCGATGACCTTCTCCGTGTAGATGGGCAGGCGGCGGTAGGGGTTCACCACCACGCAGAAGAGGCCGGAGTAGGTCTGCAGGAGGGGAGAGAGAGGGGAACGTTAGCGAGGGGAGATCCTTTTTTCTCCCTGCTCTGAGGGAATGTTTTCTTTTGCTGAAGAGGGATTTTTTTTCTCGTTTCCTATACTAGGGATTTATTTTTTCTTGAAAGATAAAGGGGGATTATTCGTTTCTTTTAATGAGGGAATATTCGTGTTTTCTTTTAAGAGGGAATATTCGTTTTTTTAAGGGGGGAATATTCTTTTTTTCTCTCTTAAAAGAGGGAATTTTCTTTTTTCTAAAAGAAAGAGGAATTACTTTATTTTATCTCGAAGACAAGAAAGAAAATATGGAAAATACATAGCTTGAGGGGAAAGTCAAAGATCCGAAAATAGGTCAAATTATCCTGGAACGGAAAGGAGGAGAGAAAAGCAGGGAGAATATTGGGAGTGGGAAACCAAGTTCTTCAAATAAGGTAAAAAAAAAAGAGGTCAACTTATGGCTACGTTGGGAGAAAGTGAACGGGCAGAGGGGGGTACATTATCTTTCTTTCACCAAGATCGAAGATACGAAGAGATGTCACATTAACAGGACGTAAACGAATGTATATAATGAAATAGTAAAATCCCTTTCCCTTCCCTTCCCTCCTCTTCCCAGTCACCTTTTATTTCCTTCCCTTCCCCGCCCTTTTATTCCTCTCTTTCCCCTCCCCCTTTTATTTCCTTCCCTTCCCCTTCCCTCCCCTTATATTTCCTTCCCTTTCCCTTCCCTTCCCTTCCCCTCCCTCCCCTCCCCTCCCTCCCCCTTCCCTCCTCCTTTCCTCCCCTTCCCCCTCCCTTCCCCTCCCTACTCACCTCCCCTCCCCTTCCCCAACCCACCGCAAAGACTCCAGAAACCCCCGGGAAGCAACACGGTGCAGACGCCAGACCCGCATCAATACCCTCCTCGAGAACACGAAAGCCACTGGGCAAGCACGCGGGGGTATCGACAGACGTCGTACTGGGAAAGGGGGTGGGGTGGGGGGCGGGGGTGAGAGATATGGGGGGAGGGAGAAGAGGAGAGGGGGGAAGGAGAAAGAAAGGAAAGAAGAAATGTGGAGGAGAATGTGAAGGGAAGGGAGGAAGGAAGGAGGGGAGGGAGAAAGGAATAGGATAGAAGAGGAGGAGCGAGGAATGGGGAGAGAGAAAGGAGGGGCATGGAGGAAGAGGAGGAGGAGGAGAAGACACGGAAGGGCGAGAAATAGAAGGAGGAGGAGGAGAAGACAAGGAGGGCGAGAAATAGGAGGAGGAGGAGGAGAGAAGACGAGGAAGTGGGAGGGAGAAAGGGGGGTAGGATGAAGGAAGAGGCGGGAACACACGGGCACTAGCAGGTATGTCGGGTAGCATTAAGCACCTGCTAAATGCTCCATTACCCCGTACCAAGCGCGGCGTGCGGTCTTGGTTCATAAGCCTCGACGGCCCCCTCCTCCCCTCTTCTCCTCCTCTCCCCCTCCCTCCTCTTCTTTCTTCCTCCCCTTCCCCCCACTACCTCGGCTTTTCTCCATCGCCGTACCTCCTGGGGCGGGGGGGGGGTGGGGTAAAGGGGAGATTTGGCGGTGAGAGAAGAGAGGAGAGAGAAGAGAGAGAGGAGGGAGAGAGAGAGAAGAGAGAGAGAGAGAGAGAGAGAGAGAGAGAGAGACAGAGAGAGAGAAGACAGACGAGAGACAGAGACAGAGCAGAGAGAGAGAAAGAGAGAAGAGAAAGAGAAAGAGAAAAGAAAGAGAAAGAGAAAGAGAAAGAGAAAGAGAAAAGAGAGAAGAAGAGAAAGAAAGAGAAAGAAAAGACAAAAAGACAGACAAAGACAAACAGATACAGAAAATAAAACAAAAAATAAAAAAAAATCCACCCCACACTTTCAACAAGCCAGTTTTTTCTCTCCATCGATACACACAAAAAGAAAAAACAAAAATCCCAATTAAAGGTCGCAGCCGAGATAATGAGCCCCGTCGGCAAGAGTTCTTAGTCGGATTCTCAAGCAGCAGTCGATTCGTCTTCAGAAGAAAAAACAATATTGAAGAAGAAGAAGAAAAATAAAATACAATCTTGAAAAAGAAAAAGAAGAGAAAAAACTATTGAAGAAGAAACATTTGGTCTTGTTTTTTTAGGAAATTGGTGGAATAATAGTAATAATGATAATGAACATAATGATAATAACAACAACACCGAAATAATAACAAACAAAAAAACACGTTCAGAATAACGAACATACCATCAAACCATTGTTCATAATAAAGGAAAAACAAAAGGAACAATCAAAAGAAAAACAAAAAAAATCATAAACAAGTCCAGACAAAAGAGCAAGAGAAAGAGAGAGAGAAAGAGAAGAGAGAAAAAAGCCGTCTTTCAGTCCGGTCACATTTCTCTTGCGGAATCACCATCATCATATCCCGAAGGTGAGTAAATATTGCACTGGAGCCTTAATACCACACTTTATACCCGGGCTCCTCGCTCGCCTGTTTCGCTTCTCTCTCTCTCGCTCGCTCTCGCTCTTTCGTTCCTCTCTTTCTCTCTTATTCGTTCTCTCGTCGCTCTTTCGTTCTCTCTTATGGTCGCTCGTTGCGTTTTTCGTTCTCTCTTTTTTGCTCTTTCGCTCTTTTCGCTCTCTTTTGGTCGCGCTCTCTCTTTCTTTCTCTCTCTCTCTCTCTCTCTCTCTCTCTCTCTCTCTCTCTCTCTCTCTCTCTCTCTCTCTCTCTCTCTTATTCGTTATTCCTTTCTATGTTTTAGTCGTTACTGCGCCCTCTTTTACTTGTTCTTTCGTTTCCTCTTTTATCGGTTCTTCCGTCCTCTCTTTCGCACGCGCTCTAACATTATCCAATTACTTGTTCTCTCATTATCTTTTCGGTTCCCGGAAACTTTTTTTCGTCCCCATTTCTTTTATCTTCCTTTTTCTTATTTCCCTTCCTATCATTGTTTTTTTTTTATCCATCTCCCTTCTCCTTCCCTTTTCCTTTCTCCTCCCTACCCCCCCTATCCACCCCCCCTGCACTTAGTAACAGGCCAAACGCGAACCAGCTGTGAAGAAGAAAAAGATTACAGGCTATGGATGTGTGTGTGCACGCGCCCCTTCCTCTTTTTATTCTCTATTTTTTTTATCTCTTCTCTTTCTTCTCTCTTTAATCCGTCCCTCCTCCCTTCTCTAGTCCCCTTCTTTCTCTTTTCCTCTTGTCTTCTTCCTTCTCCATTCTCCTTCCTCTTCCCCGTCTTTTTTTCTTCCCTTTTAAATTTCATTCCTTCGTACTTTCCTCATTCCCTTCACAACTCTTCCCTCCCTTCCTCCATCTCCCTTTTACCCTTTATCCTCCCTTTGGCCACCCATCCCTCCCTCTCTCCCCCCGTCACTCCCTTCTTCCCCTCTCCCCCCGTCCTCCCTCTCCCCTCTCCCCCCTCACTCCCTCTCCCACCCTCTCACTCCCTCTCCCCTCTCCCTCACTCCCTCCCTCACCTCCCCCCTCTCTCCCCTCTCCCCCATCACTCCCTCCCCCCTCTCCCCCATCACTCCCCCCCCTCATCCCCATCACTCCCCTCCCCATCCCTCTCCCTCCCCCTCCTTTTACCCTCCCTCATTCCATCCCTCCTTTTACCCTCCCTCACTCCCTTCCCCTTCCTTTTACCCTCCCCCACTCCATCCCTCTCCCCCCCCGCCCCCACCACCTCCCCATCAGCGTAACCCCCCGATCCACACGCATGCATAACGGGGCGAGAGCGCGTGGCTCATTGGCCCATCGCGGCGGAACGGCCGTCTCGACGCACGTGACGCCGGGTTTTAACGCGTGTCGGAGAAAATAATAATCATAATCCTTCATCCCCGTTCGACCTTCTCTCTTCTTCCTTTATTTCTCTTTACTCCCTATCTATCTATCTATCTATCTATCTATCTATCTATCTATCTATCTATCTATCTATCTATCTATCTATCTATCTATTCTATCTAGCTATCTATCTATCTATCTATCTATCTATCTATATTTTTTTTTTTTTTGGGGGGGGTTTCTTTCTCTCTCCTGCCATTATCTTTCTTTCTCTTGTTAATCTTCTTTTCCTCCTTCCATCCTTACTCCCTTTTCTTCTCTCCTCTCCCTCTCCTTCCTTTACCCCCTTCCCTTCCTCTCCTCCCTTTACTACTACAACCCCTTCTCCTCCTCGCTTTCTTCCCTTCTCTTCCTCAACATGTTTTTATCCCATTCTTCTTCGTTCAAACGGATGCCGTGCGGACCCTCACGTCACATTCTATTTTAATAACAGTACGTTTTTTTTTTAAAGCTTCGTTGTCCGTGAGAGCGAGGGTAGGAGTGTCACGCCCCTACCCCAACCCCCACCCCCACCCCACCCCTACCACGCGCCTACATATACCCAGATACCGCTATACGCACATACACGTACATACATATGAATGCACATATACTCCAGTATAGGTTACATGAACATGCACACGCACATGTACATACATACATACATACACACATACATCTAATTCTCTCTCCCTCTCCCTCTCTCACACTCCCTCCTCTCCCCTCTCTCTCTCTCTCTCTCTCTCTCTCTCTCTCTCCTCTCTCTCTCTCCTCCCACTCCCCTTTCCACATTTCCTCAAATCTCGCAATCCCACAAACTCATCTTTCCTTCCTTTGCGTCTATTTCCTCCGAAATTCCTTCATTCCTCCCTCATTTACCCTTGACTCATCCTTCACTCATTCCTCCATGACCTCCATTATGCACTCATTCCTTCACTTGACTCATCTTCACTCCTTCCTCCATGCACATTTTTTTCTTCTCATTTCTCCTTACTTCCTCTTCGCAGTAATCTGCCACAGTTGGAAGAGGTAGGTCAACCATACCCTCTTACCCCCCCCCCCTCTCCCGCAGGCGTCACGACCCCGGGCAGCGGGGCAAGCGAAATGACCTTTAACCTGCAACGTCCCTTGCCCCACCCTGCCTTGCCCTGCCCCTGCCCTACCCTGCCCCATACCCCGCCCTACCCCATACCCTACCCTGCCTGACCT